GCGTTGGATGAAGCTCACACGGGTGAAAACAAAGTCCCACCAGCACGCGGCCTGCAGCACCCCCTGTCACCTCCGCGCTGGTTGCATCCGCAGAAGCAAATCCCACCGGCGCACGCCGCCGTCACCTCCATCCTTGCCGCCTCCGCCACGCCGGCCAATCCCACCGACACACGGATGACCCCAGCTCGCGGCGCTGCGCCTCTGTGGACAACAAATCCCACCACGACCGGCACACGGATGACCCCAGCTCGTTCTCGCTGCTTGCCCGGCTGTGGACCAAATCCCACTGCGCTGGTTGCATCTGCAGAAGCAAATCCCACCGGCACACGCCGCCGTCACCTCCGTCCTTGCCGCCTCAGCCAAGCCACGGCACACGGCCTCCAGCACCTCCCGTCACCTCGGCGCTGTCTGCATCCGCAGAAGCAAATCCCACCGGCACACGCCACCGTCACCTCCATCGTTGCTCCGCCAAGCCAAATCCCACCGGCGCACGGATGACTGCTTTCCTGGAGCCAAATCCCACCGGCACACGAACGACCGCGCCTCGCTATCGCTGCGCCTCTGTGGACCAAATCCCACCAGCACGCGGCCTCCAGCACCTCGCGTCACCTCGGCGCTGGCTGCATCTGCAGAAGCACATCCCACCGGCACACGCCGCCGTCACCTCCATCCTTGCCGCCTCCGCCAAGCCAAATCCCACCGCACACGGATGACCCCAGCTCATTCTCGCTGCTTTCCTGGAGACAAAGCCCACCGGCACACGAACGACCGTGCCTCGTTATCGCTGCGCCTCTGCGGACCAAATCCCACCGGCACGCGGCCTCCAGCACCTCCCGTCACCTCGGCGCTGGTTGCATCCGCAGAAGACGCCGCCCGTCACCTCCATCCTTCCTGCCTCCGCCAAGCCAAATCCCACCGGCACACGGATGACCCCAGCTCATTCTCGCTGCTTTCCTGGAGCCAAATTGCACCGGCACACAAACAACCGCGCCTCGGTATCGCTGCGCCTCTGTGGACCAAATCCCGCTGGCACGCGGCCTCCAGCACCTCGCGTTACCTTGGCGCTGGTTGCAATTCAGCCGGACACTCACCGACAGTCAAGGTCGTCCCGGCAATTCAGCCGGCAAGCCGCTCGTTCGGCCATTTCCCCGCCAGCGGCGCTTGCACGGTATGCTGCAAACTCCGCACACTTGAAGCCCGACCACCTGCGGTATGCGGTAAACTCGGCAAAACTCGGCACACTTGAGACCGGTCACGTTCTTGGCGGCGCTTGCGCGGTATGCTGCAAACTCGGCCCTGCGGTATGCGGTAAACGCGGCACACTTGAGACCGGTTCGTTCTTGCCGGCAATTCAGCCGGCAGGCCGCCTGTTCGGCCATTTCCCGGCCAGTGGCGTTTACACGGCATGCTGCAAACATGGTACACTTCAGGCCGAACCCCCAGAGGGGTTTTTGGGAAAGAAGGGCGTAGAGCTGCCGACGATGTCCTCTCCAAATGAACCGCAGACTATTAGCTATATCACTTGCTCACGTGGGCAAGGTTCCCCACAACCAAAAACAGCTGCGGGCATTTGAAGACATCCGCCAAACTTGCAATTGAGTGGCACCTTGTGGAAAATAAATAATAAAAGATGAAGTGATAGGAATAACATGATATAAAGGAAAATGAAAGGCAAATAATAAATAATAAAAGAATAGAAAGATAAATAGCCATAAGATTTCTAGAGTTTAATAATTCTGGCTTTCCTTCATTTGTAACCGCTGGAAAGAACTGGCCAGCGGATGGTAAAGATAAGATGAAAGAGATGCCAAGCCTTTGTTGTGTGGCTTGATGAAGGGAATGGACTAGGAAATTCATGCAGGATGATTCCTAAGATTACGAAAATAATTAATAGATGAAAGAGATGCCAAGCCTTTGTTGTGTGGCTTGGTGTAACTTGACCTCTTCCTCATCCAAATCCTCTTTCCTGGATTTGGTGAAGAGATGAGGAAGAGAGAAAGAGAAAGAAGATAGACCCAGCCGTGGGAAGAGAGAGGCTGGGGAGTGAGTTTGTGGATCGCTGTCCCATGGTCAAGCTTCTGTGTGTTAACCGCTGTGAGATGGAGGCAGCGGTGTGACAGTGTGAAGTGATCCAGGAACCAGAGGTGAGTGGTGAGCGGTAGGGAATGAACGGATGAGGAGATAGACAGTGAACGGATGTGAGATGGCGGTGATATCTCCCTTCGTCATTCCGCTCCCTTCATTCGCTCATTCCTCTGTCTCTAGAATGGGTTCCTGGAGAGCCTCTATGCCAGGCAGTTGGTTAAAAGGATTCTTATTAATAGCCTATACTGTAGGATTCTTGAAGAGACAGATGATGGTAGGGATGAAACCCTGAGATTTAATGGTCAACAATTGGACAAGAACCTGGATTTTAGAGGGTTTATGATGTACAAGTGAGAGAGTGTGATGTGAGTGAGAGATAGAGATGAAGGTTGATGGACAAGTGATAGGCATGTGATGGTGAATGGGAAAGGTGAATGGTTCAAGTACCTGATGTAACGGCCAATATTAAAAAGGTTCTTTGTCTACATCCTATTTTCAAGATTTGTAGCTTTGTTGGTTTAAAGGAAAGGTCCTATGGTGAACGAAGGAACCGAGCGAAGTGAGGGAGAGAGTGACGGAAGGATTCTCTTTAGGTACATTTTGGAGAAGATAGACCCAGCCGGAAGAGAGAGGCTGGGGAGTGACAGGAATGTGTGAGAGAAGACTGATGGATGGGATCGCTTCCTTCGGTCACATCCTCCATCAAATTTGTAGCTTAGAAAATATATGAATTTCCAAGATTCTAAAGTTTACAATAAATAATATTGGATACTCTTGAAAATATAAAGACAATAAGATAAGGGGAAATGCAAAGAGAAGCATTTCCAAGATGAATGAAGTTGTAAGGACAAGGGACGTACGAAGGAACAGTTGGTGAGGGTATGTGGTCAACTGTTTACCTTCCTTCCTCATCTATCCGCTCTCTGTGTCAACGAGCGGGATGAGCCAAGCTGTGGAAGGAAGAGAAACAGGATATTTGGTGGATTACGAAAGGAGATAGAGAGATAGAATGAGAGAGATGAAAGGGAGGGATTTCCTGTAGACCAACCTTCATCTCCCTAAGCAACTTTTGTCTGTTTCATTTGCCCGTCGGTGGCTCACTGTCAAGGAATCTTTTCTGTATACCACCTCCTCCTTGAGATTCAGGAACTTGTGTGCTTGATGGTGATAGGAATGGAAAGGTGGAATGACAGCGAGGAAAGACACCTGACATGATGTGGGTGAGTGAACAAGGTGAACGGGAGGGATGTGAGAGAAACAGATGATTGGAGGCATTTCCCGTCTGTTAATCCTGGAAATTGGTAAGCCTCCATCATATTGTCGTTACAGCGGGTTAATGGGATCCTTGTTTGGTCTACATTGCAGTGAATCCTGCGTGAATAGCCTGTGGGCTTGGTTAAGAGACGTGACAAGGAAAGAAGAACCTCATCCAAAATTAAGATGTAGTGACTTTTCTTTTTACCTTTCCTTTCGTTTCTTATCTTAATTTATTTGTATTTATATTTGGATTTTTAATTATGTTTGCTTTCTTTTCATTTACTTTTAGTTGAGTTTCTAGAATTCTTGGTCTTTGGGATTCTTTAGGTGAATTTGTGTGAGATGTAAAGAGATGGAAATGTTAGGTTGGTAATGATAGGCAATTAATAGGTGAATGATGGTAGAGATGAATGAATATTGAATGGAATGGTTTGTTGGCATACATGTCCTTCCTTTGGAGTCTCTTTCTGGTCTTTATGTCATCTAGTTCTTGTTTGTTTGATTATTTGTGGTTATTAGATGTATGCTGTAATATTAGTAAAAATGATTCTGTATTGTTTGCTGTGTTTATGAGTCTCTGTGGTAAACGGTTCTTCTTAGGATTTAATGTTAGACCATTTGATGAAGATATGAAAGAGATAGAAAGATAAGATAAGATGGTCAGGGAAATGCAAAGAGAAGCATTTCCAAGATGAATAATGTAACTAATAAATTCTGAGGTTATAGATGGAACAGGATGGATTCTTCAGAAGACAGCCCCCACCTCCCTTTGGTCGTGAGAAGTGGTTAACGGTTGGTAAGGATTCATAAAGTTATAGATGGTAGGGATAATATATGAAAGTTGACTAGTAAAAAGATGATTGTAGGTGAAATAATTTAATGTGTCTTGTCTATAGATGAGTCCTTCCTGTAGACTAAGATAGAGGATTTATCCGGTGCAGTGGTTATTAGATGAAGTGTTTTTTGGAGTCTTATGGTGGACGAAGGAAGTGAGGACCCAACCGCTCGAAAGAACTGGCCAGCGGATGGTAAAGATAAGATGAAAGAGATGCCAAGCCTTTGTTGTGTGGCTTGGCTGTGTGGTTGGGTCTCAGAGATTAATGATAGACCCAACAGATATCTTTTTACTAATCATCAACACTAAAATGACAAATAATTAAGGAAATATGATAAGAAAGACACATTACATTGTAAATCTTATGGTGAGACGGTTTCTAGAGAGTGAACCGGCTCCAAGAGACTGGAATTATGGTCAAGATTTATAAAGATGGCTTCTGGAGTCTTAATGTGTGACAGCTCCTGGATTTATGATGTAGACGACAGTAAAAAGATGAAGGAGATTAAGAGATAGACGGTGGAAGAGATGACTGGGATAGATGGGTCTCTTTTCCCATCTTCATCCCATCCCTTCCTTTTCCTTTCCTAGACTGGGTTTGTGACGGAGGGAAGTGGTACAGGATTCATAAAGTTACGAAAGGAAAGCCCATTAAGCGCAAATCTGCAAGATCTTTCACGGGACATCCCGCGCTTTATCCGATTGTCCCCCTACCTCGATCCATTGGGCATGCGCCAGCGATGCTGGGCGGAGAGATCTGGGCAAATTACTAAGCACAAACCTGAGAGGCATCCCCAAAGCAAATCCGTGGGTGAGCTCATTTTACCCCAGGTCGTTGTAAATTGCCCAGATGTCCCTTGAACATCACGAGTGGTCGGCTCTCAAGCTGGCTGGCAGCCCAGGTCGAGCTCCTGCGCCCGCTGCGGGGCTCGATTTTGCGTGGGGCCACAGCCTCACCTTGGGTTGGGCTGGATTGGTTTGCAGGTTGTGCGGAGGTTGCTTTCTCCTTCGATGAAATCTTCAAAACTACACATTACGTGTCCGCGGCATGGGGGAGCTCGGCGAACCGACTTGCTTGGCAACAGATAGAAATAACACGCCAAGAAGATAGATAGACGATGCGATGGGTGGGTGTCTGACAATGCATTGTACATGTATGCATATATCCGGGTGAAACACAATCGTCTGCCGTAACATGCCCAGGGCGCATGCATATACATACCCACACATGGCACGCATCTTTTTACCTATGTATCGAACGAGTATGTACCACATATGTATTTACTTGGTTGCTATCATGAATCACAACCAGGGTTTGTCTTTTGACCCCAGTTTTGGCTTTAAAACAAAGGGGCCCCTCTATTTGAAAGAGGTCCCTCTGTACTGAAAAGGGCCTGTTTTCCCAACTGCACCTCTTTGTTTGTGGGCATGACAATCTCTGTGAATCAAGAATCTGGAGAACTGAACGAATAAGTGTTCAATGCTCCACACTGTTGTGTCGAACTGTAGGCAACCCAAGAAGAATAAAACTTGAGCCAAGCTCATCCACTTGGCAAGCGGTCAAAGTCGGCATTGGGGTGTCCATGCAACTAGTTTTCTTGGCCATACTCTTCAGTCAGCGCGTGCGCTTGAACATTATCATGGGGATGAAATTGTGCAAGGAGAAGCTAGCGGCACGGGCAATTCCCCAGCACAGGTATGCAGGCCAGCTTTACACTGAGGATTTGTTTAAAAAGCTTTACACTGAGGATCTGTTTTAAAAACAGCCTGGAGCTGGAGATGGATTAGTTTTATCCATGCTTTCCCTACCGCCGTTTGCTCAGGCAGCCAGAAGAGAGGTCCCGTTCCAAAAGGGGGACGGCAACCCCATGACTCCGACGGGTACTTAAAGTTTGGGGTCAACATTCCATGATACTCCTCCAGCCACAAAAGAGAAAAGGGTCTATGAGTTGAGCTCTTGGGTCAAAACCTCCAAACGGAACCCCCGGGAGATCCGAGCTGCCCACCTCGAGAAGCAGCTGCGATGTCCCGAAGACCCAAAGCGGCGCAAGGGTCAGGGACAGCAGCAGGAGCGCCGCCTCTCGACTCACCAGAAGGAACTCCCTCCCCGCACCCCCCCCCCCAAAAAGAAAGGAAAGAAAAAGAAACAAGCCCGACCCAAGGCTAGACCCCCCCAAGGCAAAAAAGACAGAAGAAAGAAATAACAACAGGAGCTCCGCCTTAGCGGCCGCTTTCCCACTGCGGTCCTCCAGCTTGGCGTCCCGGACCTGGCGAGAAGAATCAGTCGGGTCGTTAGGCCTTGGAGCAGTTTCCCAAAAAGTTGGTGTCCCTATGTTCCTTTGACTTCCCTTTGGATTCCCAAAAAGGTTGGTTTACTTTCAACTACTTCTTCAGGTTGAAAAAGAGATGGTATCCAAAACAACGCCTGGGTCTGTCTCAAAATCCCACAAAAAGCATCCCCAAATTGCCAGTCGTTGGCCCCAATTTGAGGGTTCCGGACATTGGGGCCGCAATCTGCGAATTGGCCCATGTTCGGTCCTCAATGTCCCATTGATTGAGAACACAACCTGTTCCACGGCAATGGGATGGCAACAAGGACACCCGTCGTTATTGGTTGGATGGAAAAAAGGAATTGGTCAGTTGCCGAACCAATGCAAAACACCACCTGAAAACATTGCGTGCTGTCTGTGGACAAAATCCATGCCAGGCACCAGTTGGTCATTTCATCAGCCAGTATTTATAGGGTCTCATCCATCCCTCGTAGTACAAAAAGAGATTCCTCAGTTTGAGAGTGTCATGATTATCTGCAGTGAGATTGGTGATTGGGGCATCCCTGGATATCATAACACATAGGTGCTGAGCCATATAGTGAACAGTCTCCAAACCGGGAAGAATGCTTCCAACTCAAAGCAGCCTTTATCATGAGTGAGGTTGAAAGATCTCCTTGGTGAAGTCGCTATAATCCGCCTTGATAGGACATTCTGGTGAATCATAGATTTGCCAACCTGAAACAAGAAACCCAATGAGAAGAAACCGAGGCGGCAACCTCCCCCCCCCCCGGTTTGGCAGGTGGCTATGATTTATCCAGTAATGATATGGGCAATGCGGTTTGAAGGGAGCCGAAGGAGAGCATGTCCCCTATCGGAAGCACTATGAACAACCTTTGTAAGTACAATGTTGGTGTCTAAAATAGAGGAAGCTGCAGGACCAGTTTTTTGATAGGGCAAACAAAGGCAACCCATTGAATAGAAGCAACTAGGGCTAGCAGCACACGCCTCAAGCAAACCTATGCCTTCTTCCGTGAAAATAATACGCTTTATTCGTGCTGTCCCCTTCACTACAGCAAAAAGAATGTTGAGCATTAATCGTTGCTCATACGGCTCATTCGTACCAAATCTTCGGCTACCGAGAGGATATGTTCAAACCGAACGTTGCCATCTGAATGTTGGTAAATCCTTTCCCGTGCACTTCCTTCTAAACCTAAGGGTCCAAAAACACAACGGCAAAGATGCTCCCAAGGGGCAGCTCAGTGAAAACGACTTCAACCAATCTAGTGAAACCGTAAACTTTGTCAGAGTCTCTCTGCCGGGAGTTGCGTCGAGGAAAATAGGGCTTGGGCCCTGCCCACCAACCAATCAACCAACAAATCCAACCAACCAAAGTGAAAGCCAAACAAAACTCAACCAAACTCAACCAAACTCAACCAAACTAAACCAAACTAAACCAAATTAAACAAAACCAGCCAATCAATAAAACCAACCAATCAATAAAACCAACCGCAAAACCGTCCAACAAAACCAGCCAACAAAACCAGCCAACAAAACTAACCAACAAAATCAACCAACAAAACCAAAGAAGCCAACCAAACAAACAAACAAACAAACAAACAAACAAACAAACAAACAAACAAACAAACAAACAAAACAAACAACCAACAACAACCAACCAACCAACCAACCAACCAACCAACCAACCAACCAACCAACCAACCAACCAACCAACCAACCAACCAACCAACCAACCAACCAACCAACCAACCAACCAACCAACCAACCAACCCAACCAACCAACCAACCAACCAACCAACCAACCAACCAACCAACCAACCAACCAACCAACCAACCAACCAACCAACCAACCAACCAACCAACCAACCAACCAACCAACCAACCAACCAACCAACCAACCAACCAACCAACCAACCAACCAACCAACCAACCAACCAACCAACCAACCAACCAACCAACCAACCAACCAACCAACCAACCAACCAACCAACCAACCAACCAACCAACCAACCAACCAACCAACCAACCAACCAACCAACCCAAGCCCACCAGCAAAACCAACCAACAAAACCAACCCAAGCCCGCCAGCAAGACCAACCAACCAAACCCAACCAACCAACCAACCAAACAACCAAACCAACCGGCCAAACAAACCAACCAACTAAACCAAACCAAACCAAACCAAACCAACCTACCAACCTATCAACCTAGCTACCCACCTACAGCGTGGCTCGCTCAACTGATTTAATTTGATGACATGTTTGCAGCCAAAAGGAAGGGGATGATGCACAGTGAATCACAGCCTATGCAAACTGTGACACCTCTTCACTGAGTGGTTTCCTGTCGGTCCCCCTCCCGCAACTCCTGGCTGACTCCCCAATCACCGCCACTCACGGCAAAACCAGACCGCGCCATGTGCATCGGTGGTCCGACCAGCAAGAACAGCAGTAAGAGCCCTGGCGAGGGAGGCTCTCTCAAACGGAAGGGGTCCAACTGATACCGTTGCTTCCGATTTGATGTCGATCTCTCACTAGGCAAAACGTATGTTCACATTGAAGAGTTTGGCATAAACATTGGGGAAATGGCAGTTACTTGGAGTTTGGCGGACCAGATGAATTGAAAGGGAGCTGAAGAGAAGCTGTAAAAGCCACCAGGAGCATGCGAATATTTTGTTCAGCGGGGTTGTGGGGAATACAACCGCAATACCACCAGAACGGCCCTCGCCATGAGACATTCGTCAAGGTTCCCTGGATCGAGACTACCATCCCCTCTTTCCCAACCCCAAAAATGTGGGTTCCTGTGCTTTTCACATACAGATGTGTTACAGTCGATTGCAGGAACCAGCAAAATGACCCAAATGGAGTACTTATGATCCACATGAAACGTATCATTTATGTGTACGTCCGTGTCAGTGTATGAACATAAAACAAGCAAATAGATACTTGTACTCAAAACGTGCACAGGTCCAAGCGTGTGCCAGCTTCCAGCTTCGGAGACGGCATGTCCATCCGCCTGTGAGCCCCACAGCCATGCGCAGCAGCAGCGTCCCGAAGGGCCTTCGGCTCTTCGCCCAACCAAAAAGAGAGAGGCCAACCCTCCGAAAGCGTCAGAGGGAAGTTGTCTTTCAAAATCCCTCCCTCTCGGGTTCCTGCTGATTTCGCGGATGGAGCCATTTTGCTACACACGAAACGTGGCTGCACCCAACTGGAAAAATTGACTCAGGATTCCTGAAACGAATGAGTAATTCGCCAATAGAAGGCAACCACAGAATGAGATGCGTTGGGTTTGGTTCGGCGATGAAGCCTAATATGCACTCTCCTTGCTTGGTTTGTTTGGGCCGTGCTCTCACACCTGGGCTCAAGTTCAGGATGGTGTCGTTTTGCATGTTCTGGCGAGAGCTTCGTGGTACCGGCACAGTGCCATCAAAGACTTTCCCCCGTTTTACATCGATTTCACTTGTGCGCAGTGAACTGCTTCCTGTTCTGGATCCTTACAGAGAACCTTCATACGTCCCGGAATCGTGGTCTCTTCACTCGCGTTTGGTCGAGGCTTTGTTTTCGAAGGTCTCAAATCAAAAGCAATCCGGGTCCAAAGTAGGTCGAAGGTCTCAAGTCGCGGGGTCCATACGATCTGAGTCAAAGCTGAGGCCAATAGCCAGGCCATCGAAATCCTGGGGTTCCGGCGGGTGGCTCTGCAAGCAGGCCTCCAGCCTCGGGGAAGAGGAAAGGGAAGGGGAAAAAAGTCCAGGAGTTCAAAGTGACCTTGACTGGGTGGTCTGAAGGGAAACCACACCCAAAGGCACTTTTGGGGACCCCTCAACATGTTCGTTTTAAGGGAATTGAGGCGTATCCACGCATCGGGGCAAACAAGGTCCCAAGGAAACCCCAAGGGATGTTGCTGGATGCTCAAGAGAAAATTCAAACTCAAGGGAGGAAAGGCCCGCCCTGCATACCAACAAGCCAGTGGGGGGTTCAACAGACCTCAGGGTTGGTCGTGGGCTCCTGATTCTGACTGTTCCTAGGGGTTCTCAAAATCAGCCATCGAGTTTTCCCCTTCCCACCTGGGGCCTGGGGAAAATAAAATGATGTCCAGTACGCTTGCACTCCCCCCACTCAAAGTGAGGGTCATGTTGTTTTCCCCCCTGTGAAGGCTCACCTTTGAGCTGCCCGGCACCTGCGGGGGCAGCTGCCCGTAGGCGCCGGTCCTAGCTGCGCAAACCAGAGGTGGCTCAGCGGCTCCAGCACGAGAAAACCAAAACCAAAAACAATCCAAACGGAGAAATCAATGGTTGCAATTCGGTCCAAAAGAGGAGCCAAGCAAAGGGCCATCTAAAGGGGTGACCCCACTTCGTTTAAAGTCATGGAGGAGAAAATGAACTGCACAGCCGACCGAGAAAATGGGGAACTACTTTACGCAAAGGGGCCTCGCGAGGAACAACCGGCAACATGTTGGCACATATATTTCGTTGAGACTGCTGGCGCCCTTGTCGTCGAAGACGCCTGCCGAAGCCGGCGCCGCCGCACGTTGCAACCAGCAGCTGGTGCCGGCCAGGATCCTCCAGGCCGGTGTGTGGGTCTCCTGAGAAACCCTGTGCTATTGTTTGCCCGAGCACAGGCAAAAATGCTTGCATTTTCTGTGCGCCAGGTCCTGTGTTCAGGACTCAAGTGCAACTAACTGCTGGGTGACAAAACCGTAGCCTGACACACTCAGGCTGACGCCTCATCGTACCTTGCGAGCCAGATGGCTCGGACCGTCGCTGCCGGGTGACATAACCGCAGCCTGACACGCTCAGGCAGACGCCTCACCGTGCTCAGACCGTCGCTGCAGGGTGACATAACCGCAGCCTGAAACGCTCAGGCTGACGCTTCACCGTACCTTGCGAGCCAGATGTCTCTGACCGTCGCTTCACAGTGCTCGAGGACGGCCTGGTTGGTCGCGATGGAGACGGACTTAACGGGCCAGGCCATACGGGCTTGTAGTGGGTTGCTTGGCCGGGCGGGCCGGCTGCTTGCAGTGGGAGTCAGAGTGCACTGCCAGAAGGTATGCTCGAAGGTGCCCAGGCTTTGACACCAAGGGCAGTCCGGACTGTGTGGTTGTGCTTGACGATCCGGGGCCGCCGGGTAGTCGCGGCCCAGCCAGGCCTCAGAGACGACCGCGCCGAGAAGCACGGAGCGGCCGGCGGCGCCAGCGCCATCGAAAGCTTCCCGGAGCTTGTCCAAGTGATGTTGGCACCCATTTCCCACCTCCCACGCTCTTTGGCTTTAAAAGGCTTCGGATTTTCCTTTTTATGCATCAAGGAATCCGCACGAAACGAGCTTTGCTGGGCCAGGGCCCCGTTTCTGCTGAAAGGTTGTCCGGCCACAAACCGGGAACCCCGAAGCAAAGGAAAGGCGAACCTGAGACTTTCTATGCAAAAAAGGCCCTTTCGTTGAGCGACACATTCTCTGGACCCGGCAGCAATCTCACCACGTTGCTGAGGCCATGGATCTTCGTTGGTCTTGAAACCACACTGCTATCACCATCGGCCTTGGGCTTGCCTTTTGAACGAACATTCCAATGGGGCTTGTCTCTACATGGGGCAACCCCTAAATTGGATGATGTTCTTCAAGTTTTCCTCACAAATGCCCCAAACAAGCGGAGCTGGCCACGCAAAAGGAGCTTCTCCTAGACTGCCCTGTTTCGGTTACAAAGAATAAAAAGGAAGCCACTCCATGAAGGGAGGGTACCAGGTTTATACCACCGTTTGATTTGAGTCAAAATCAAATCGTACCCCAGGCCCTCCGGCCTCTGATCCAGACAAATCGCATTCGAACAAATCCGTTGAGGCCCGGGCAATGCCAGGCACATGCCCCCGCAAAGTGCAGGTCCTGTCAGACAGTAGACATATAGACATGTATCCTAAAAAACACCAAGACAGTTGCTGAGCAAACCACTCTGGGCAAAATTGGCACTCAAGAGTGCCCGAGGCTAATGTAGTCATCTCTGGTGGCCAACTCAAGCCATCAGGCTTTGTGGCACCCTTTACCTGGGAGTTGTCTCAGGCAGATGTACGAATACCCCGCTCAATTGGTCAACCTAGGCAGCCAAGCGAGCTCTGTCACACGTGTGTTTGGCCGATGGTAAAGAAAACAACAACAAAAAACAACGTGCACGGGGTGAACCAGGCCCCGTTGCTTTGTGTAAATCTTGGAACCCTTTTGAGGGACAAGCTGAAGAGTTGAAGCTGCATGAGTCATTCACTATCAAGAAAGGGTCCCCAGAAGTCGCCATGTTTCAACCTGCTATAAGCAATTCGAGGGTCAGGATGTCTCAGGGGTTACACCATTTCTTGCTAGTGAGGGCCAGCGTGCATCAGAACCCTTAAGCTCAATCAGAAGACTTCAACCTGAAATGATGCAAAAATAAGGGTCAATTTCGCCAACTCAACGGGCAAAGGCCCGTTGAAGCGCCGAACAGAACGTGGGCATCTCCAATGAAAGGCATGAGCATGCTCCCAACATGGAAGTGCATCTGGACCTCTTCTGGAAGACCAAAGCTTTCCTGTTGCAAAGGAATTCGCCGGTTCGCCACGCCAATCTGGTGGAAATGTCTTCCGTCACACCAAAGTGGGTCCATGAGTCCATGAGTCCATGAGACTACACAACGATTTATGTTTTAAGGGCCCGAAGTAGGGCTGCAATCGCAGCTCATGTCCCATAGCAAAAACAATTGCAACTTTGGACGGCATTCTTCCTTGCGGAAGGCAGTAATTATATAACGAGCCTTAAGAAAGCAAAAAAAAACATGGGCTCCCTGAGGAGTGCATCTCACCAACCGAGCGTCGACACGCTTTTTGCTTTGCGACTCCTGCGGCGTAGGCCAGGTGCCGCGAGCGCAGCCGACGCTGCCGCGACTGCAGACACCTTGGGTTGCGCAGGGGAGAGACAGATTCCAAGGACAAAGTGGTGGCTTTCCTTTGGCTTGCCTTCAAAACCAAAAGAGGGTTCCACACCCCAAATGTAAAATGGATCCAAGGGTCCCCCAAAGATTCCCATGACAGAATGCAACCCATCTTACATCTAGCGGAGAGTACACCTGATTTTGGGCCCAATGTGTGGTGGGGTCCATACTTTGGACACAGTCCCCCAAGTTCAGCAACTCTCATGAAATCTACGGAGAGGGATGAGTCTATGCCTTCATAGCCCACAAAACAAGGGCTCATCCAAGGTTTGAACCTATCCGCAGACCACTCAGGGTTCCATGACAAACGCTTGGCTTCGTCTCAATGTTGATAGCACAGCCCTCTCTCGCTTACAGCGGCCCGCATGGCCATGCAGCACCATCGTCCGAACGAGAGGCTGCTCGCCGTGACCGGTAGGTTGCACAGCTAGCAGGTCAAAAAGGGGGTGACCGGATTTCCCAAATCTCAAGTTGCCTTTGTTTTGTGGGGGATTCATAGTCGGGTACTTTTGGAGGTGCAACTGGCCCAATTGTGAGAAGCCATCATTAACATCATCAATGGGCAGGTGAAAGACAACAACCCTCGCTTTCTCACCCGGGCTCGGTCCCAAAAGAAGGACATTGTCCAAGCTCTGCTGAGAGTCAAAGGTTGTCGCATCCTTTACCCGACTGCGGTTCCAGAGAATGTCCACCAAACAAGCCTTGAACATCAGTATGTTTCTCGATAAACAGGCCGGCGAAAGGTTAGAACCATACTGAAGCCAACGTTTCAGGGGGCAACTTCCCCACCAACAAAGCCAGGGAAATCAGCTGGAGTTGTCGGAAAGCAAGACAGCTGGAAAGAATGGAAAAGGAGTCACCCAAGGGCTGTTCAGAGTCAACAAAAAAACGCCGAACAGAAAAAACGGTTTCCCCTCCCCTCCTCCTCTAAAACAAACACGATTTCCCCTTCCCACCCCCCACCCACCAGCCCCCCCAAAAAAAGAATACAACACACACACACACAGAGAAACCGCTTGGCCCAACCCCCCCCCCCCCCCCCGGAAACCCGCGCCTGCACCCGCAGGTGCGGCGGGCGCTGGGGCCATCCTCCGCCTGGATCCGCGAAAATGGCGGGTCGCCGGTGGAATTCATCGATTTCATGGGAACAGAGGGTAACAGAGGGAAAAACCAAAGGAACATGCCAAACACGATGGAGGAAGCCAAAAAAAAGAGGTTTGAAGGTTGAACAGCCCCAAAGAAATGGCCAGCGATTGATGGCGAAACCCCAGATACAGCGGCTTGAATGATACTTAATGGGAACCCCTCTCCAAAATGAAGAAGAGAACAAGGTGTCGAGACCTCTGGTTGCAACTGGGTCTTGTAAGACGAAAGGTTGAAGATGCAGAAGCTCTCAACACAAAAGTAGATTTTGTATAGACGATCGCTTCTCTCCGGAAGAAACAAACGAGCCCTCCAAACTTCCAAACTCCATGGGGCAGCGCCGTCCTTTTGCCTTGTGAAGATTGGCATACCTCGAACTGGCATGAACTCCACGTTTCGGGGCCGAATTCTTCCGTCCGATAAGGGTAGTCCGTCAAAAAGGCACAACCAAGCTAGCTCTAAGGGCCATGGACCCCTGAGATTCTCCGGGTAAAAAGAATCTCAAAAAGGCCATTGGCAAACTCAACGTGGAACCTCCTAGCAGCCCCCTCCAACAGCCTTTTCGCTAGGTCCTCCTGGGCAATAACTGAGAATGATGCAAGTTCTACGCTCTAGTCGAGTTTTATATATGTGTTGTCCTCATGTTTTCATTAACTTGGCACTTCACTTCCCGAGGCAGCCCAAACACGCCGAGAAGGGCTTTTACTAGCTTGGCACCAAACAAAAAAGGCTTGCTGCAGTCTCGAGATCACGTCCAGAGTAGCCATTGGAACCCAGGCCTCGTCGGGCACGATGCGGGTGCGCTTGAGCTTGGACGCCTCAAGGCCCTGCACCTGAGAGGCGATGCGCCCTGCTTTGAGCTGATAACTCCTCGGGCAACCTTCGGTGTCCTGTGGACAAAAATAGAAGCCAAACTCACAGCGCCTCCAAAAAAAAAACTAACCATAAAGTCCACCTATGCTGGCAAATCCCTGGTTCCGAGGATTAATTCCACACCAGGTGGGCAAGGGCATGACTCGAAGATGGCCAATGCCTAACTTGGAGGTCTTCAAGAGGGTGTGGGTGTGTGTGTGTGTGTGTGTGCTTTTTGACTGTCACATTGGCAAAGGAAACTTCGGGAAGTTTTTTTGCAAGACGACCTGTCTGGGGCGTGTCCAACCCTTCAACCGGTTGATGTGATCCTCTGCTTCCCATTTGGTTCACCGAAACAAGGGCCAACATGGGGACCACCGGTCCGAAACAAGGGCCATGGGTGTGGGACAGGCAATGATACGCACTCCCCTGGTTGAATCGAACATGAAACGCTTCACTCCCTGAGCCCCGCGCTTTGGAAAATCGGGGCACACGGCGTCACCCGGACCCGTCTTCAGCTTTTGCTCAAGGCAAACCACAGGTCAACCGGAGGGGGTGTCCCGATTTTGGGACAAAACCTGTGTGGTTGTGCCTTTTTGAGAATACCCTTGTCCACCTTGATGTTCAAGGAAAACCTGAAAGAATTTCCAGCTTCCCCGGTTGTGACACTCACATACCTTAGAGTTTTTCAAAATGGTGGACCCTTTTTGGACGGCATTTAAAGGGAAACCAAGAAGCCAACGATCTTAGGCAGATCGCTATTTCTATGCGTGCCTCATGTTTGTAGGGCAAACGTTTTGGGGTCACTTTCAAGCGATGCCAAGGGGAAAACCGGGGAAACTTTCGCTCCAGACCTCCACGGGAATGGGCTCCAGGCCGCCGTCTCCAGCCACTCGGCTCGCTGCTCCGCGTGCACTGGTGTGGACTCAGTCCCACAGGTGTCTCATCCCTGAAAACGGGGGTGGAGGTGATTCTTTGACCAGTGCTTTTTTTCTGCTTGGCAAGGGGACTAGTACGCAACAGCGCGCGGCTCTATTTTCGCAGCTGTCGTGGACGGGCGGAAACGCCTGAGAGGAGCAAACAGACAGGTGCAGACAGAGCTGGCAGCCTGGACAGAAGGGATGTGTGGCGTCGAGACCCAACAAACGTCCGTCGGCACGGAGTCAGTAGCTGCGGAGATACAGGAGCAGTAGTTTGCGGTTGCGATCCCAAGCCAAACAGCGTCAATGCAAAACATATGTTGCCATGTGTTGATTTCACTAGGTTTGTTTTTGCTCCAGGTCTCGTCTTTCCTGAAGGCTGGCAACATCCCAAAAAGCGAACCTTCCAGAAAGACGCGTGTGTTTGATTCTGGCGGGTGACCCTCCATGACGGAAGAGGATTTTAGTGCGGGAAGCTGGGTCCATGGGTGGGTCGTGGATGCACGTGTTTAAGCCACTCTTCAAACCTCAGACTCCATTGGTGTCGCTTTTTCTCACCACCATGACTTGCCCTTTCGATGTTGGAGGTTCGGCTTCTATCTCTTAAAAAGAGGTTCCCTGTTTGGGCCGAAAATTGTTTAATTGGCCCTTTGGCGTAATTCAGAGTGTGACTTATGTCCGCCAACCGCTCAGTGTTTGTCGGTGGAGCTGGGGGGGCAAAGAGATTCCGAGTCCCCACACCGGTGCCTCCCTGATACCGAAAGAAACTTGTTGCTTGGGCGTTCAAGACAAGCAAACAGAAACCCAGCTCGGGGTGGCCGTCATATCCAATTTGGCGGCAAACCATTTGCCAAAACCAACATGTCCAACCTCTGACGCGTCCGCGACCTCCAAGCCCTCACGCCAGTGCGCGGCCCAAGGCCGACAGAATTGTGAGGCCCAGCGCCTCGGACGCGAGATGGGAACCGGGGTACAGACGCCTCATGCCTGAACTCGTCCCATCTAGTTGCTGATTATGAGCTTGTTGCAGTATATGTATATATATATAATATGTATGCATGCATGCATGCAGGCATGTATGCATGCATGCATGCCTGTCTGTCTGTCTGTCTGCATGCATGCATGTATGTATGTATGTATGTATGTCTGAATGAATGAATGAACGAACAAACAAACGAAGGAATGAACGAGGGAATGAATGAATGCATGCATGCATGCATGCATGCATGCATGCATGCATCCATGAATGAATGAATGAATGAATGAATGAATGAATGAATGAATGAATGAATGAATGAATGAATGAATGAATGAATGAATGAATGAATGAATGAATGAATGAATGAATGAATGAATGAATGAATGAATGAATGAATGAATGAATGAATGAATGAATGAATGAATGTGTCTGTATGATTTGCATGCATGTGTGTAGATAGGCATGTAGGCATGTAGGTATGTGGGCTAGCAGGTAGGTAGGTATGCAGGTTAGGTATGTAGGTATGTAGGTATGTAGGTATGTAGGTATGTAGGTATGTAGGTATGTAGGTATGTAGGTATGTAGGTATGTAGGTATGTAGGTATGTAGGTATGTAGGTATGTAGGTATGTAGGTATGTAGGTATGTAGGTATGTGAATAATTAGGTATGTAGGTATGTAGTTTAGGTATGCAGGTATGTAGGTATGAAGGTATGTGGTATGTAGGTATGTAGGTATGTAGGTATGTAGGTATTTAGGTATGGAGGTATGTAGGTATATAGGTATGTATGTAGGTAGGAATCTAGGTATGTAGGTAGGTAGGTAGGTAGGTAGGTAGGTAGGTCTGTATGCCTGTGTGCAACCAGTATGAAATCCGGGTGTACATTCTAATCATTGCTAAAGGTTTTGAGACCCTGCCCTAGTCGCGCCTCTGTCCATTTGGGAAAAGCACCCCTATGGTATTGCCCTGGTTTCTCGCATCGGAGGCTCTAAGTTCCCGACAAAAGGTCCATTCCTACTACAGATGAACCCCTGATATGAGCCATTTGTTTATGGTCCAAGTGTAGTGGTTTTATGGTCTCAATTGGGGAAGTTATCCACAAAGAGCAGCAAGATAAGGTTAGTTCTTGCGTGCCTGGGAATGGTGGATCTGAAGCCTCAGTTGCTAATGGTGAAAAACAGATTGTTTGGGGAAACAATAAATAATAATGGCAAGGGTCATGAGTCATTACCAAACGTGAACCTCCACAGGCTGAACATGATTCCTGTTCTGTTCAAAACCAAGAGTTCTGTTCAAAAATCCAAGCGATCACTTTTGGTAGCCACCAAACGAAGACAAGCAAGAGCCTGCAGCTCTTGGGCCATCCTACACCAGTGGGTGCCAGTGCCCGAAGACACGCATGTCAAGACACAAACCAATGGGCACCCTACCAATGCCCCTGAGTCTTGGCCAACGCGACACCCGCGAGACTGGCATAAAGGCGGCTCCTCCGCGTCCTCTGAACGGCGCCTATCTCTGGGTAACCTTCTCGAAGCCCTTGTTGCAAGCAGGCCCGAGGCCTTGTTAGAAGGGCCAGGCCAAGGGAGTGGGGACAGAACCGTGACCCAAAGCCCCCAGGCCGTCAAAATCCCAAAAGGCTCTCAGTCATGGCGCCATAAACAGCGACTGGCCGACTGCAAAAGATTGAGGACAACTGAAAACGAGTCCTTTTCTCCGACGTTCGGTGAGCCTTGACCCAGACCTGGGGCAGACCGCATGCGCATTTTTCCGGCCCGTTGGAACGATTGATCTCATTGCAGCGCCCATTGCCGAGACTCGAAACGATGCCTTGGGCGTTGCCTCGAGATCGCAAAATCGGCGGGTTTCTGCAAGGGGCCCCCCGTTGGTCCTACGTTGGGGGTACACAGCTTGAGGAACTACTCCGCCCACAGCCTCTTGGCCTCAGCAACCAACCGCATCGAATCCTCCTCCACCCGGCGAATGTGGTCCTGAAGCAGGAAATCTAAAAGCTGAAACATGCGGTCCTCCCATCAGAAGGACCCTTTGGTCTCTCTTCAAAGGGAAACGAAGGCAAACCTTCCATTTGTGGAGGGCTTCCCAGTTCTTGGAAACACCCATGTTCCAATAGCAGCTTCAACAATCTCCTGTGGGCAAGTCCTCTTCCCTTGCCTTTGCAGAGTTTCCCAATTCTTTTAACACCCTCTTGGTTTCCTCTGCATGGGGGGTTGTTTTTGTCAAGAAGGCAGTTTGAGAACCGGTGCTGAAACGGGACATTGACCAGAAATAATAGGTTTATTGCAGTCCCTGGTCGGTGTGCACGCTGTGTACAGACGTGCAAATGTGACAGTCTATATGCGAATGTCCGCTCGCAGCCAACAGGGGCCCTGGTGTAGGCAAACTCAATGGGCCCGAAAAGAAGTTCCCCTGCACTCCAGTCCTTGGTGTCGTGGCTCTTATAGATCTTGTGCATCCCAAGCCCGTTGTGATTGAGATCATACAACTGCCTCGTATCACGAATCGCTGGCAAATGCTCACAAATCAGCGGACCAGGTAACCTTTCCAAAAGATGGAGCCGTTGGCTCTAGTTCAAAGATAGCATCCGCCTAGCATGTGAATGTCAATGGCAGATCCGAATGCCATGTTCGATGAAACATCTTCACCCACTATCAAACAAATGCAGAATTATGGCACACGTGAGGCATCCCCACCCTCTTTCACGAAACCGTTCCGTGACAAAATCATCGTTTTTGGCAAAGCGCCACCAACACAGCAACTAACTAGCGGCAACAAACCCGACAGCAACCATTCGCACCCGACAGCAAAAAGCAGCAGCGAAGATACAACAGCGACAACCAACAACAAGCAACGTAAACCGATAGCAAGCGCCAACAACCAACCACATCCAACGTCGGTCCGAGAACGACAAACAGCAACCCACTGCACAATTCGACAACCGACAGCAACCAACGGCAACAAACAGAAAGCAGCAGCAGAGGCCGAAAAGCGGCAACCAATGGCAAACAGGCACCACAGCGAGCGACCTCCGCCAACAACGCCAGCATCACGGTGAACAACGACAACAACCACGACGACCAAGGCCACAGCCACGACAGCGAAGACGACCACGACGACGACCACGACCACGACCACAAAAAAAACAATAACAACCGCTACTTCCCCTGCAGATTGTGTGGCTGTGTTCTTGGAAACAGCTTCAATAGCAACTTGCGGATTGGAAACTGCGGGCTGCAACAGGATGTGTTTCTCTTCTCACCTAGGTCGCGCGTAAGCGCCAGCTCTCAGCAGCAACCACTAGCTCTCAGCTGCAACCACTGCCCAACAATGCGGGCTCGGCTGTACAACGATACAACATGCCACGCAACCAACCAATCAAGCAAGCTAACAGCCAAGTAATCAAGCGCCAACCACACTCAAAGGAAACGTGTCACCCGAGGCCCGCCAAGCACAACACTTGCTCGGCCCATCGAAAAGGGGTCCCTTATATGCCCACCTTTGTTGCAGCCCATCAAAAGATAACTCACCTGAGACTTGGCCCTTTCCCGCTGAATGTTTTTCAGCGCAAGCTCGACAGCTAAAACATACTGATGGGGCAAACTTGTGCGCCAGTTAGTTTGTCGCAGTATTCAAATGGGTTCCATCCATGGCCGTTTGGTCGACCAAATCCAGCATGCCTGAGCCAGGACAAAGGCGCCAGTCGTTCACCAGCTTCTTGCCCCAGAGCTTGGCCAAATTCAGGAAGTCCCCCAGTTCCTGCGGGATTCGACTCGTTGAAGTTGGCATTGAGGCAGGCGCAACCGCTCGTGTTGCTCGTGTTGCTCGGCTGGCCCAAACACCTTGAAAACAAAAGGCGAATCTTCAGGCGCCATGACCAACGATCAAGGGGCAGGCAAAAAAGTCTGGCCGATCTGCAATGGGCTCGAGTTTAAACGCCATCTTTCGGGCAACGGCATGTCAAGGGAGGATTTAAGGGGTATGAAGGCTCATTTACCTAAGCTTGTAAGGCAGCACATACTCTCTTATTCAGCGGCATGTACCCTTCATACCTCCAAAACCCGAACCTGAGAATGCCCTTCAGCGCTTCCGTTGCTTCCCCTCGTCCCCGCTCCTCCCCGCAGCGATTGGCGTCGGCGGTGACGGACCCCGCGTGCACTTGGCTGCAATCCGGGGTGCTGGAGAAGAAGCTCACCTCCTTGCAAATCACAAAAGATTTGCTGCGAATCCCCGAAGAACACCCAAGCCGGCCCAAGCCATGTGCTTTTAAGGTCATAGTATATAGTTTCCAAGGAAATAGATCCGGAGAACTCCAGCAAATGGCGGGAGCACGTCACTCGGTGTCCGGAAAGCGGGCCGCTTTCCTCGGGGGAAGCCGCAGCGACGAGATGGGCGTTTTTGCAGTCGTGGATGGATCGTGCTGGCACAAACCTTGTGAGCCTCGCATGCGCTGCTGATTGAGAGATTGCTGCCTTTTTTGATACTTGTGGATACTCGTGTGGCCAGCGGCTCTATTTTCGCCGAAAAAGGCCATCTGAGTTGCCCAGAGCCAAAGTAATCTTCTCACGACGGAAGTAGCATTCAAGACAGTCAAGGCAAGCTGGGGGCAAAGCTCTCCCGTCAAATTCATCAGCGCATGCAAAAACCATACCGTAGGGGCCCACTTCTCCCCAGAGATCTGGTCCTTGTACTCCTCAAGTATCTACTCGGTAGGTGAGCCGTGTGGTTCTAGGAACCCTGGCAGAGCTTGTCTAAATCGCTCACCATGAAGGCGCCAAAAGTCAATGGTCAACCCCAAACCTAGGATTGAGGTCTTTGCCAACGTCATCGTTTTAGTTTTTACTAAGGGGGAAAGTAGGATCTTACCAACGCTGACGTTAGGTTGGTCCTCCGGAGAAACAAACACTCCCCTTGGTTTTTGCTAGGGTGTCCCACTAAATGGGAAGCCTCCCCTGTGGGGAACACCCTGATACTCCACCTGGTTTCTTCCGTTGGCACCGGTCGGCGTGTCTCCTTCGTCCAGAAGACGTTGGAGTCGGCGAAGCTTTGCAAACGCTCTCCCGCGACTTTCCTAAGCTGGACTGGTTGGATCAGATGGGAGCCCGGGGAGGGGGGGAGAAAGGCCAACCGCCAAAGACAAGAGGCCAAGTAGGGCCCCAAATAAGGCTAAGGCAAAAGCATGAAACCAAACAAGGCCAAATGAAGCCACAACAACGCAACACAGAAAGCAAATGCTGAAGGCCACATAAGGGCACATTATGCGCCAAATAAAGGAGCAACAAGGCCAAAAACCAGAGCATGAGTCTCTGTCGAATGAGGCCAACAAAGCGTTTCACAGTGAGAGATTGTAGGTCCAGTTGGGACGCCAGTGTGAAAGCACCGGTGCACCATTTTTTGTGGGGGCGGAACAACGACAAAGACATGCTTCAGATTCAATGCAATGAAAACCAGTGACAGTCTTGATGAATGCTCCCATTCCGCATTGGAAGAGTCTGGACAAAGAGGAACAACTTGACTTTGTTTGCATGTCAGCCTGGTCTTCCTTTAAATGGGCTCAAACTGCTCTGCGGCTCAGCCGAGGAAATATTAGACAAGCGCATCAGAAAAGGTTGTGTCAGCCCAGGACCTCTCCGGTTGAATGTGAGTTCCCTTTCTCATCTTTGACGGGACAAAACGGGCAGGATAGGCGCCTTTTATGTTTTACATAACTGGACCAAAAAGGATCGAATTGGTTTTGACGCATACCCCGTGCTGCAGAAGCAGACTACAGATTGCATGATGTTTGCTTGATTGCTGAAACTAGTATGCCTTCTCCGTCGGTAGGGGCCAACCTCCACGAAACATGGACCCCCTCGACAATATCTGAGAGGTCATTCACCATAGTTCAACATTACCTCTCTGAACTTACTCGAGCGCTGAAACTTGCTGGCAGAGCAAACAAGTTGTCTACTCCTGCTGTTCCCCTTTCCCCTTGACTCTGGAGGGGAGCAATTCTGTTGAGGCCCCGTAAAGTGTCACTTTTGCTTTTCAACACGCCTTTCCCATCGGGATAAAACAGGAGGCTTGACAAAAATGGATACATTTCCTGCGGAGCAACCCGCTTGCCCCTTCCGTCAGCTGGCCTCATCTCTGGCACTCCATGGGCCACCATACTGAGCACATTGCCATTCTTGGGGCACTTCGCGTCGCGCACGCCCAAGGCTTCGCAGTGAGTTATCACGCGTCCTCGCGTAGCTCAAGGTCTGCGTCTCTCTCTCAGGGAACTTTCCACGAGGGACGCTTTCCGGAAGCTGTGCACTGTGGGGGCATTCCGAGCTCCATTCTGAAGCCCCGAATCACAATGGGCCGAGGCGGAGCGCTTTCTTTATCGGGGAATGTTTCGGACAAAGTAAAGTCAGGTAGAGTATGCCTGGGACAGATCGACGAGCTGTACAAAACCGAAACCCAAAAGATCTGTCCCTCACCCAGCAACCTCTCACCCGCGCCACTGACCCCAGACCCACCTGGACCGTTGGGGGTTAGTCTAGGATCTCCCTATGCTCCTGTCAAGGCAGTCGCGTCTGCATTCTCGTACGCGCCGGTGTTCACCAGGTCGAGAAAAGCCTTTTCCTTGGAACTCAAGCACCTTCTTCGTTGCCCGGGAAACCCAACCAAAATCTGCTGAACCCGTTTTGGTTGATCGGTCTCAAAGCGGAAACCCCCTCTTCAAATGGTCGAGAAACATCTTTAAAAGCAAACAAAATGCCCAGAACTCACTGGATTCCTGGGCACTGTTGTGGAAAAGTGACAACAAGCTATACGGGACGTCCCACAGTATGACGCTGGCCACAGCGACTCGTTTTCCGTAGCGAGTTAGGCCTTAACCCGCTTTGTCGTTTGTCGACAACATAAACAAACAACAACAACAACAAAAGTGGGGGTGTTGGCCTGGAGCTGCGACTGAGCCTCAGCCTTGGCCTGGAAGGCCGCCGCGGCGAGATGGGGGTTGGCTTTGACGCAGCACACGGTGGAACGTTCCACGGACTCGGTGGCCAAGTTGGAGAGCTGAGGCTCCTGAGTCTGACAGCCTCCCGGGGTCAAAATTCGTGGCCCTTTGAGGGATCCCCTTTGAAAGGTGGCGGGCAGAAGAGTGCGGCCTGGATTCATCTGAAGTTGTCAGTACTGGCACGTGGTCATGAGTGCTTCCGCTTGGCAAATGAGCCCTCTCAAGTAGAAAACGGTGGGGCAGGAGTGCTTGCGTTTAGCGAAATCAGCCTTCTCATTCAGAGAAACGGAGAACCTTGAAAAGTGCAATTGCCCAAAAGAAGAAGAAAAAAACAATAGTGGAACCCACTTGGTGTAAATCGTCATACAGTGGCTTGAACAAATAGTATGTCTAAAGCCAGCTTGTTCTCTGTAGGGAATATGGGAATGACCCTCTTCCACTGTGCTTGCAACTGAGTCTCATTCTTCTCGCGCAGGGCGACAACAAGCATCGGAAGCATTGCGCAAAAGACCTTCATGGCTACAGAAAGTTAGCAGTCTACGTGGTGAATTGCAGATGTAGCTTGGGCCAAAGGCACGCATGCAGGTGCATTCAGAAGCCGGGCAGTTGATGCGGCTCCAAATGGTAGCTCTGCTATTGGAATTGAGTCTCAGTAGGCAACGGGCTATTTGACTAAGGCCCCGAATGATAGGGGATCTGTGATGGTAGCCGGGGTGCTCCGGAATAGTACTGTGGCTTTCAGCATGATTGACAGACATGCATGCTTGCCCACTCGCCTATTGGCGGCAATATCCCAAAAGAAAACGAACTGCCCTGGACTACTGAACATCCCGGACTGATCGGCAACTCCTCCGAGAGCGCAATAATATCTCCTACATAAAGCGCAACGAGGACGGTTGTTGCGCTGACGAGGACGGCACTGCAGCAGAGTTTCCTCCGACACAGGGCACCCTGCCCACCGATCAAAGCAAAAAAGGCCGGTAGTTTTCGGGCTTTATGTTGGAGAAATTGCTCAAAGAGAAAAGTCAAGTCGGTCGTTCAGACATTGCTGATTGACCAATGCATCAACCCATGCTTGAAATGAGCTAGCAACACAGATCAACCATAAGGGTTTCTACACAAATCCATTTGAAGCATGTTTGGGGTCCGCTTTCCTAAAAAGGGTCCTGGCTTGGACCCGTTTCCCTTGCCCGAATGGCGGCCAACTTGGGGCCCGCGCAGAGGCCGCACCCACTGCCACGGACAGCCCCACATCTTGGCGGCCTCAAACGCACGCTCTACCGCCTGAAAGCGGGTGTCTACACGTCTAGGGGTTCTTTCATGACTCTAGGAAAGTCAAAAAGTAAATCCTGGTAGACGCGTTGCTGGAAAATAATACAGCCCGAGCTGGCCCCACCCTGCCGTTACAATGTCCGCCTGCTTTACCCCTCCCCTCCCTGAAACCCGAAGGAAGCCCTTCGGCCGAAGGCATAGCAACACGGCGGAGGTTTGCTCGGGGCCCTGAAAGGACTCCATGCAAGATCTTGCTGAAGGGGGAGTTCAGTTAACACCAGGGACCTATTCCCAAAGTTCAAACGCAAGGCCTTGGTCATGGTTGAGCCATTTGGTGGGAAATGTAAATGCAAAAAAAAAAACTCCCAGAGACATGTTGTACTGAGATCAGATTTTCCTACATTACAAAAACACTGCAAACCTGAGCCACGTGATCAGACCCCCCCCCCCTTTTTCCGGTCACTTGCTCTTCGGCCACTTGCTCACTTCAAGGCACGAAGGGCTTTGGTATCTGGGCTCAGAGATCAGCACCCCATATCAAGGCGCAGAAAAGGCAAATCTCCCCAAGCCATTCTTGAAAGGTCCAAGCCTTTCGGGAACAAGGGAAACCAAGCAGAAACCGAAAGGCTTGGGGTTCCAAGACGCAACACACCCAAAAAGACGGGCCAAACTCTTCCAGAGCAAGGAGGCCTTCGATCTGTGATTGTTGGTTTGTTTGTTTGTTTGTTGTTTTTCCGGTGTGTTTGGAGCCGTTTCATCAGTGTTCACAACATGTTTCGCGCGGGGCGCGGTCTATCACGAATCTGCCTGGAAGCTGCGTATTCGCATTCCACCATGAGGCGTTGGCCGGTGCCAGGGGTGCCACCCACTGACCAACCTCCGGATTTCCATGGGAAGCCCTTCGGGGAAGGAAACATCCCAGAACCCGCGGAACAACCAAGACTTGTTCTGATGAACAACGAACATCCTCGCAACGGCTGTTCCCCCTAGCGTTGGAATCCGAGTTTCAACTCAAACCGGATATGGGAGTCACTCGACTAAATCTCCGGTTGCGCGCTCTCATTTGAGTGTGGGCCATGGGCTATGACCCTAGTCCCCAGAAATCAAACTAACCCGAACAAAAGTTGCATGAAAGGATGTTGCTCACAAATGGGCGCTTCATGAAACCCATGGGGACGATCCTCTGCTGCATGTTTCCCGAGCAACGGTCAGTCTTTCTAGGGATAAATGAAGCGTCCGCAAAAAATAACAGCAACTTGGCTCTGGAAGAGCAGCTTCCTTTCAAATGAAATTGCCACGTTTAAATCTCTGCTTTCACTGCATGCTCCAAATAGCATCTTCAGCTTCCCTCTACTTGGTTTGCTGTGGTTTGGAAGTTCGGGTTCGGGGGGCAAAAATTCCTATTTGCCCTCTACAAGGGCTTCAAACATCCCAACAACCACCATCCAATCCACCGATTCAGGGCTGCCCGAATGGATGCCATGGTCCTGGGCCCCCGGCGCAGCAAGGCTCCATATGGGTCCAGCAGGCCCCAGGCGAGGCCACTCAAGGTGCCAATGACCCACCCTATCAGCGTGTCGCTGCCTCGGCGTGGGTCGTTTTGCCCTTCCGAGAAAAAAGGCACCGTGAACCCACCAATGGCCCCACCAAAGACGGAGAACCCGCACCCAAGCAAGTTGGAAAGCGAATAACCCACCACTTTGGTGGCCTGGTCAAATGTTCAAGGGTTGCTTTGTCTCAATCGTCGAGGTGACTTTGGACCTTCTGACCCGTTGTCAGAGTGCAGTCGCAGTTTGTCGTTGCTTTCTAGTCACCAACAAAGCCCAAGAACCTGCAAATTGGCCTCGAACCCAACGCCCCCCCATCGCTGTTGAGGAACCTGCGACCCCAGTCTTCTTGCGCCCATTTTGGATCGGGACCTGGGGATCTCTCTGAAGGCACCAGCCTCACTGGGCGAAAAGACGTTCAAAACCCTCTCGCCCAGAGGCAAGCGACATGAAGCCCTTGAGGTGTCGATTCTTCAACTCCGGGAGGAATCCGCAAGCCGCGCCACTGGACCAACCGAAGGGAGTCCAAGGGTGCAACATCCCTGGACATGAGCACAACCAGGGTCGTGTCCTTTTTGTTGGGCAAAAACCCTTTGGGGGGTGACTGGTTTTTTAACGTGAAAACGCAAGGAAACAAAAACTGTTTGCCGAGCACCCCTATTTTTTAGACGCACCCACCGTAAATTAGCACTCCACGATTTTCGACTCAAGCGCCTCGAAAGCCCGGCCCTGAGCTCGTGGGTTTTGTTAGGCCCCCCCGCACCAATGCATCCCCAGGTAGTTCCGGGATAAACCCGTCACGGCCCCAAGCCTCAGAAACGGGGCAACGGGCAATGCGAAGTTGAGATGCGGAGTCAAATGGAAAGGCGACTTTGGAGTCATCTGTTGGTCCTGCTTGGGTGAATCTATTTTGGGCGGGCACATGTGTAAAACCAGTTGGACCCCTGTACAAATGCACTAAACAGGCTCCCCAGATTTTGTCTGCCCCGAGTGTCAAGCAAACTAGTCAACTGTCACACAAGAAAAAGCTGAGGGATCAACATTGAGACGTGCGTTTGGGAGCTTTTGGATCCTCCTTACTACTTGCCCAAGAAAAAGATGAAGCTCACAATTCCAATCCCATGCTCCGAGGAGGAGGCAACATGAACGGCTGAGCGTCACTTTCGGCAGGCATTGTCGCTTGGGGGCAGAAATCCAGCATCAACCACATCAGGGAGGAACGGAAGAATACATCTATAGCATCTTCCATGCATTTGGTCCCCAGCGACCTGGCTGGCGTGTTGTCCGGGTGTGTGACAATACTGGGCCTTCTTGAAAGATCAAGGCAGCATGTTGAATTTCTAGATGATTTCCCTACCGGACACCACGACCGGAAATTGCGGGATAGTTCCAGGGCCTTCGAATTGAAGACTCAAGCGGGTTTTTCCGCAACTCGCTCACGGGACCAGCCACCCATACCCCAGCGGCGAAAGCCACTTGTCAGGGTAGGATTGCCCTGTTGGTTCCGCCCGGATCCCGGATTCCTTTGGCGTTGCATGTCGTAGGAAACCAAAGTGAGACGGTGACCGATAACCAAACTGAAAGACTGTTTCCAGGTTTCTACACGTGCCCAATTGAAGCTATTGACTGGCTTTGTGCCCCCTTTCCAACACCTGTTTCAAGCTGTCAAAACCTGAAAGGCCCTCTTTGGCGACATTTGAAGTCGCCAAACGGCCCAAACAACCAGGTGGTCTCCAGATCAACTCGCAAGGGTCAGAGTGAAACTTGCAACTCGCATGCTTCACGATGGCGAAGTGGCGAAAATTCAGGGGTTGCCTCACGGGAAGGCCATTGAAAGTCGGCTGGTCCGCAAATGGTTGGACCCATTTCATGTTCGGCTTCATGGTTCCCCAAATGCTTTGCTCAGCCCTCAAAATCCGAATCAAAAGATCAAAGTCTACCCAAAACTCCCCGAAAAAGATAAAATGATACTGTCTTTGTCCCACATGTTGATGGTTGGAACTGTCCCCAAATCTTCATCTACATGGCTGTGGCAAATAGCCCTGTATGCAAGGCCATTCCAATTGGCCTTTGTGCATTCCCTTGGTAATAACAAGTGGCAACTTAACAGCCGGAGTTCTTGAGGCGCTTTTCCCACAAGCAAAAAGAAAGGGGACGAGCACATGAACCGAAACCCCAAAACAATCAAACCAACCAAACCAAACCAAATCAGCAACCAAACCGACAACCAACCAACCAACCAACCAACCAACCAACCAACCAACCAACCAACCAACCAACCAACCAACCAACCAACCAACCAACCAACCAACCAACCAACCAACCAACCAACCAACCAACCAACCAACCAACCAGCAGAACCGAACACCCAGCCGATCTCTCGGCACCAAAGGGCTTTCCAAGGCCAAGGCAGAAGCATCATGGGCAGCCAGCGCACAGACATCTCGAAGGTGAAGAAGGCGCACAGCAGCACTCCTGCGCCATGTCTCGACGTCGACCCCGAATTTTGGAAGTCTTGGTGTTGACACTCGGGTAGGTTGGCAAGGGTGGTTGTTTTCCAACTTTGGGTGTTTTTTTTCAATGAAGCCTTGCGGACTAGCAGGGAGGTGTTTCCCCAAAAAGTTGGGAAGGATTCCTGCTGGTGTCTGCCAGAAAGGCGTTGGCAGTCAGCGTTTCAGACGGTGGCGCTGCGATGCTTCCCACCACTGTGGCGCCAGAATTGGGGCCGAGAAAAACGTGCGAACTGCTAGCATTAGTGTAGTTATTACCCATACTACTTCTCTGGCCTGTTCTACAACTACTGCTGTACTACTTCTGCTGCTGCTGCTGCTACTGTTACCACTTCTCTTACTTCTACTACACTTACTTCTTCTTTGCTCCTCCTACTACTACTACTACTACTACCACCACCACCACCACCACCACCACCTTCACCACCTTTGCTTTCACTAAAGCCTTTTCTGCTCAAAGTGTGCCACGTTTCCGCGCTTGGTTTTTTCACTTCCGCCTGTACGCTATTAGAGTGTTTTTCCTGGTCTTATTTGGCGTTCTCACTGGGCTTACTTCCCGGAATAACTTTGAGAATGTGCATAGTTCGGCCAAGGACTGGTTAGTTGTTAGGCATAAGCCCCTCTGTTTCCTTTGGTTCTGCTGGCTTCCACCTTCACTTGTAAGCGTAGTCGTGAGCTGCCGTGAGGCCGGCTGCCGCTTTCTCAGCCCCTCAAGCACATGGACCACAAGCCATCGCGAGCAACAACAGGATGCTTCACTCGTCCCCTACTCCTGCGTAGGACACAAACCCCTTAATTAATGCCGACCCACCTGTCTCGTTCAGCCACAAAGATGTTGTTAACCATCCAAACCTCTTGGCTCCAAGCTGGCGGAGATCGCGGTTTCATTGGAGCAACGCCCTTCGACAGGCGGAACTGCATATCATTGACGTTGTCAGGCACAATGTGCTTGAACTAGCTCCGGCAGTACTCTCTTTCAAATCGGCTGCCTCTGCGTCCTGCACATGAACAAGTGGCTTGCCCCATCCGAAGCGGATGCAACGTTGATTTCACCGCTCATTTCGCAAGCGTCCATTTGCCGCTTTGCGGCCCTCCCGAAAACCAAGAACTTGCGCCACATTTTTGGTTCTTCACCGATCCAAGGTTCTAAGGCTGCTAAGAGCTCTAGAACGAACAGCCTTTCAAATCCGGCAGAACACCCTCTGCTTCCCGCTGCCGCGCTTTCAGCAAGCTGAGTTTTTGCATGATTTGCGCCCTTGAGGAACCTAATCCCCGCGTGCGACTGCAAGCGTCACGGGCTGACGCAGCTGGGCGCTCGGGACGGCCCGGTGGTTGGAGGTCGCCAAGGCCCAGAGTTTTGGAAGGCACGGAACTTGGGCGGGAAGTGTGGCGAGGTGGGCGAGCTCCTTGGTCCACTTCATGCGGTCGACGGCCGACCAGGGCCAGAGCTCAATACGGAATTCTTACTTCTGCCCAGTTCGCGCCGATGCGCGAAATACTCACTCACAAACAAATGTCTTTCTTTCAGGAAAGTCACCTTTGGCCCCGATAGGCTCGATCCACCCAGGGGTTTGGCCGAGAAACTGTCGCGACACTTACCTGAGTTTTCTCCTTTCTCTTTCGCCCCTCACTGTCTCCGCGCCTGGAGGGCGTTCGTGCTGTTGTACGCCTTCGGACTGGACATGCCGAAAGCGCAAAGCTTGAATGCTGCGAGCTCCATCGAAGACCCGGCCACCAAGACAAAAATCGACCTTCACGCGTGGGGCATGCGTGGCGTCCGAATTGCATACAACAACAAAAACGTGTGTGTGAAACGCTCAGTGTAACGTAACGCGTAGCAGGCAAGCATCGCCTGCAAGTGACGTGAGCGGCGCCTTGCGTGACATCGGTGAACTGCGCGAAAGAAACTCCTTTGGACACTATACACGCGCGGAGCAGCCCGGATTTCTGCCAGGCCTAGGTCCTGGGCAAGCTGCAAGTTCGTAATGTTTGTCTTCAAAGAGTAGGTGGCGGGACGCAACGATGCAACAGTAGCGAGGTAGTTGGCGTTGCCTTGTCACCTTCAAAAAGCTTTGCTGACAGTGCAAAAGGTGCCCACGCAAGCTGCAAGGACACGCAGCGTCCGACCTTAGGCTTAAGACCTGATCTCGCCCACACAGGCCGCAAATCCAGGAATTTGCAAAAACCAAAAAAAAAACTCAAAAAAAAACAATCCGAAAAACTCAATCTGAAATAATCTGAATCTGGGAAGACTCAAAAGAAACTCAAAAAAAACTCAAAAACAACTCAAGCAACAACTCAAGCAGGGGTCTGGGGAGGGTTCTGGGGGTGGGGGAGGGGCAAAATGCAAAAACAACCGCAGAAAACACAAAAACAACTAAAAAAACAACTAAAAAAACAAAAAAATCAAGCAACAACTCAAGCAGGGGTCTGGGGAGGGTTCTGGGGGTGGGGGAGGGGCAAAATGCAAAAACAACAAACACAAAAAAAAACTCAAAACAAAAAAAAACTCCAAAATAAAAAAACTCAAAACAGACTCAAAAAAACTATGGGAAAAAAACTCAAATCTCCTGCTGTGTTTTTTGTTGTGTTTTGTTTGAGTCTCCTGCTGTGTGTTTCTTGTGTTTTTTTTGAGTCTCCTGCTGCTTTTTGTGAGTCTGTGTTTTCAGTTGAGTTGTTTGGCTGAGTTTTTTCTGAGTTTTTTTTTTAGTTTTGTTTGTTCCGCTAAAACCTCTCCTGTCTGAGCCCGTCTGGTCATAACCTTAGGCGACCACAACCCCCTGGATTTGAGTGCACTGCCAATGCTTCCCAACAGAAACACCACGTTCCAGAATGCAAAATCTAACCAATGACGGGCACTCGCATCAGTTTGTTTGTGGCCTTCGGCTCCGAAGATACTGTCTTCCGATGCGTCGGTTTTAGTTATGCGCCGCTGACATTGCCAAAAGCTGCGTGTGCACAAGAGCCAAAAGAAGCGGCACTGGATCAGCTGTAGAAAAATCCTTGCAAAAACCACGCCTCAAAAGGACAGTACCTTGTCTAGGAATGCTGCTGCCAAGGCAAAATGCCTCAAATCTGCCCTGCTGGAACCCAGCGGCCAAGTTCTGACAGCCTTGCGAAAGCGCTGCCGCAAAAGAGCGCCCTCCTACTGAGCGCGCGCTGCTGCCAGGTTCAAAACACATTGCAGAAGCTGTGCCTCAACAGGCCACGTGCACTGGTGATAGCACTAGTGAGCTAATGTTGTTCTGTGCCAATCTGCCCAGACGACACCAGTGTTACCAACGACTTGATTCCTGGACAAGGTGCATCTGTATAGGAGGAAGCACGGGGGGGGGGGGGCGCGGCTAAACTGTGGAATCTTACCCTTGGCTAGCTTAATGACCGCCCCGGCCAACCCAATGCAAATGACTCTTGACCCTGGCACATAAACTGAACCACAGAGTTTAACATCCAGGCTGCCCCAAGAGCGGTCCTGACAAGCAGTGCGTGTGGCCGCTGGGGAAAGCATAGTCCTTGCGGTGGCCGTCCGTTCGTCTCGAGGCGGTGAGTTGGTAATTACCCCAATGAGCACGTTTGCCACTTTTTGACGGGGACCCCCCTCCCGCTTGCTCCCTTGCCCACATGGCCTAAAAATGAGTTTGAGCAGCACCTGTACAACTCATTGTGCGGTCGAAACCACTGCATCCAGGCCAACTCGAGGCGTGCCTCGAAACGGAACCTTCTGCCATGGTGTCCAACAAATAGTGAGCTGAGTTTCCCCTTCCAAAAGAAAGTCCCACCTTGGTGCCTAGGGCGTTTTGGCCCAAATGAGGAGATTCGACCGACCTGCAACAGTATTGCGGCTCACGCAAAACGTGTCTTCCAAGCAACCGGCTCACTTGGACGCCCTACCCGAGTTGGACAAAAGCAGCACCCAAGACCCACTGCCTCTTGGCTCTACCAACATGGTCATACAGGTTGTTCATGGGAAAACCCAAAAGCCCCACGAAACCAGGTGTGGAACAATCTGCTAATATTTGGGAATGCGTCAAGACGAGGCAGGGTTCTATGGCTTGGCCCTTCTCTCTGAGCAGCTCAAAGCGACAGAAGGATTCACCAACCGGCCCAACTTCGGAATGCCATCTATGTTCCACTGGCCAAAAAGGACACCATTGCACTGAATGGTGTCTTCAGTTGGACAACTGTGGCGGCGATGACCGATCCATCGCACTCTGAGGGCAGCACCCCTTCCCAAACAGCTCCAATGTTCCTCAGGCGCCCCACTCTCTCTTTCTCTCCAACGGCCACGGGGGGGAAATGGATGCTGCCCTTTTTGGTCTGGTCATCTTTACTAGGCACAGCGTCTGAGCATCGCATCCATCAGGATGGGGAAAACTAACAAGCTGCCACACTTTGTCAGTTGGGTTGCACGTTGAAAAGGTGCCCTTTACCCCCGGTGCTTGGTCTTGGCTGCGGTTGAAGCATGCTTCACGATGCAAAGGGCAAGTGGGCGTCAGGGCAAGGCCAGCCCCGCTAGTCAGGGCCCCTTCACCACCCCCGCAGACCGTGGGCCGGCAAAAGGGCAAGACACCGTGACATAGCCAGCAAAGTAAGCCAAAAGGCTGTTCCCACCGGTCCCTTGCTGCAGTAGGCCCAAAGGTGCGCGCGGGACCCTGGCTTCGGGGGAAAGAAGAGGGGGGGGTCTGCCACGGACGACAACCACCGACACGTTTGGACCGACCACTTGCTAATGGCTCAGTGGTCGTTTAATCTTCGAGTAAATCACTTTAACCCCACTAAACTTCTGCCTGTGGTTTCCGGTCCATTTCTATAGAGTGCGTTGAGTAACCCAAACTCTGAAGCTAGAAAATCTGACGGCAAATGCTTGATGCCTGGCCAAATAGGTAACCCCAACGAGAATGAAACGGGAACGGATCACAGAACTCGCCTTGCCTCTTTGCGGTTTCAAGTGGTGCTTTGCGGAGTTGAAAGCGTGTGTAGTTGGTTTGAAGCACCAATTACAAATTGCCCCAAGATTGGAATGGATCTCTTTTGGTGGGTGTTTTGCAGGGGACATATCCTAAGGGAGATCACCACTTTGTGGTGCACGTTTGGCCCCTCGGATGTGCGCAAAGCCAAGAACGGGGCTTTCGACGTAACGCCGTGGTTTGGGTCTCGCATGTTGGTGTGTTCTTTTTTGAGGTCCCCCCCCCCATCTTTCTGGCTTTAAAGAACAACCAAACACCTAGGCGCTTTAACATATGTCCTCATGCCAATGTGTTGGAACCATGTTGAAGCCCTTTTCTTCAATAAAGCATCACCAAACCCCCTTTGAATAATCAACATCATTGAGCCTCTCATACTCCCCCCCCCTTTTTACACACAAGGGGGGGTGTTCAAATGGTGAACAGCAATTTCTTGGACCATGGTTCATATGTCTTGATGGTTCTCAGCAAAGAACCAAAAGGGTTTTGGGAATAAACCGGTTGTGATCCGCCAAAAGGAATTCAACTTGTGGCTCATCTTGGGTTCATTACTCATTCCCTGCCTATGGTTCCCATTTCACCTTGCCTTGAACGGAAACCCGAAAACCGGGAACCCGGCCATGTGGGGAATTCAACTCACTTGCCACAGACGCGTTTCCTCGGCGAGGAGCCACACCTCCGAGGCCTTGCCGTTGTCCAGCCACACCGGCCGCGGGCGCTGCCAGATCCACCTCTGCGGAGTGGACCAAACATCGAAAGGAAATCGAAAACGGAAACCGGAAAAAGGCAAAAAGAAGCCCACAAGAGAAGAATCGAAAAAGGAAACACAAATGCTTCAAAGGCAAATGGTCAGTGTTCTTTCTTTTAAGGGGCAGTTGATCTGAATCGATCCTCTGGTGCATGGCCTTTTGTCTTCCCTTGTCTCACCCTTCTCCTCTTGTCTCCTCTGCTCCTCTCTGCTTGCTCTGGTTGATTCATCTTCTCACCGCTTTTGGTTTCCCATTTTAGCAAAAGTACCAGCAAAGCACGTAGGAAGATCCGCCCCTCCCTCCCCTTCTCCGAGCAGCTTGAGCGCAAAGTTCAGAGAGACCTCCGGCGCGGTGTCAGGGGCTTCGGGGAGGACTGGTTGCGGGTGGCTTTCTTTGTTTCCCGAGGTGGAGTGTCAAGTTTTGGTGTCTATCTTGGCTCCCACCCAACCCCACCGACTCACCGACTCACCGATTAACCAACCCAACCAACCTAACCAACCCAACCCAAACCGACCCAAACCGACCCAAACCGACCCAACCCAACCCAAACCGACCAGCCAGCTGCCCCAAAAAAAGTGTGCACCGCCTCACGGAGAGGGAAACCTCCCTCGAGCAACAACAAAAAACCACCGACACGGAAGCTCAAGACTTTGAGCCTGGAGGAACTGCCCACGAAATGTCTTGCAAACAAAGAAAAGAGAAAAGAAACGGTCTGCCTCAAAGAGGGTTGCTCCAAAAATGATGTCACCCCAACATCTGTTGAGCTTCCTGCTGTTTGGAGGGCTCGGATTGGCGAGTTGGTCCTTCGCCTTTCGGCTTGATCAAGCAAATGGACTTGCCAAATCACCAATTGGGTACGGCTCAAAAATATGTACCCAAAATGGAACCCTGGTAAGTGGAAACATGAACCAAAACCTGCGGTCCCCTGATGCTTTAACTTTGACTCATACCCAAATCAGGGTTTCCTGACCCTTGGCAATCAAAAGCGCCAAGTGTTTTCACCGGCGTGCGTCTTACGAACCAGATGAGGCTCTTCCAAGGGGCTCACATGGGTACAGCATATTCGTGAGTCGTTGCGTGAAATTCAGAGAGTCCTTCCGATGCCCACAAATTGACCACAGACTGGAAACATTGACTGAACCTCGCTTGGGTTTCTCTTTCTGTTGGCACCTTTTTGTCGAGAGTGTTTGAAGGGAAATCACCAGGAAAACGACCTATCTGTCTGTTCCGTTCCCCTATTTTGGGACAAACCCATCCAAGCAAGGGCGCGCCCCTGGTTTTTGTGGCTGAGTTTTAGGTGCCCTGCGTCTCGTCTTGTCCGACCCAAGAGAAACAATGTTGTCAGTGGCTGAAACTCCATGTACCCATTAATGAACCGCCAATCTCAACTGGTGCCCGGCGTGGTTGTTGTCCATCCACGGCGAGAATTATGCAGGTACTTTTGGGGTCCCCAACACCCTAAAATGGAGGGTGTGTTTTTGGTTTCCCACTACCAAAAGCGGGTTTACCGCCATGGGAAAACAACCCCTACCAACTCGCCCATATAGGTGTGGGGGGGGGGTGTCAAAAAAGGTATGCAACATGGATGGGTTGCCCTGGTAAATGATTTAAAACAAGGACTATAACCTGAGGTCCGCTGGTTTTAATTCTGATCCATACCCATATATGTGTGTGTGTGCTTTTGCTAGGGTGTCCCCTATTATTGGCGGTGTTCCGCTTTCCTTTTGAAAAATCCCTTTAAACGTCGCAACCACGGAACCACACCCGTATGTCTTGCTTGTTGCTTTTTCACATTTTGGCAGTTGACCTTTGAGTTGAACTCTGCTCTAAAAAATGTGCTTGAATGCTGACTGATATGTAGTTGAATTATGTTCGAAAAGAACATCCTGTGTGTATTTCAATTGGAAGAAGAGGATAAATCTAATTTACATTCCATTCTCTAAAAATATCATTATTATTAGATTATGTTCTTCTCAAATTCTGCTTAAACTCCAATTGGATTCTATGTAAACTCTAAATTTAAGATATAATGTCCACTAAGATTGGCTAAATTCTACATTTTAGGATTCAATTTCCAGTAGGGTTCGGAACAAGCATTCCCTTGCTGAGTCCAAGTTTAATTCCGTTAAAGCTCTAACTGGAGAGCTGCTGCTGGTGGAAATTTGAACGGAGTATGACAAATGCGACAATACAAACTGTGTTCTACGGTGTTTTCTGACCATGGTAGTGCGGGGCTTTAAAAAAAAGTGTTGGGATCTGTGAATTCTGTTCTACCAAATATCTGTATCAAGTTCTACTCAATGTCTAACTGAAAATGAAAAGAATATGATAAGGCAAGAATGTAATAATAATTTCTACTTTAAACTAGAGGTCTAATAACAGTTATTGAATTTCAAATTTCATGTTGTACAATATGTCCTGTCCAATGGAATTGTCTTTGTCTATTCAACGAGTTGGGACCTCCGAACTGGTTCCTTATGAAATTGTACTTGCTAGATGTATCAAATTCTATTCAGTTTCTATCTGAAACTAAACAGAAATCGACAGGAGAACAAATCCAATCAGCGTTCCGTGTCGCACTATAATTTCATTATCCGTATAATAATTGTCCTTGTTCAAATGGAAGTCCTTTCCAACATAATGTTCTTTACAAATCAAGTCTAACATTTGATACTGTACCAAGGCTTAACTGTGAACCACACAAGTGCACTTGAACCCGGGTCTTGCGCGGCCACGATCCAAGGTCATGGAACCGCTCCCCAGAAGGTCTGAACTTGTTTGTTTTGGACAACTCAAGGTTTTCTGGCATTTGTTGTAGAAAAGTGTGAAAACCTCGAGTTGCCAAAAAAAGTTCAGACCCATTGGGGGGGGAGCACGATCTAGGACATGGGCCTGAGTTGTTTGGTTTCTTTTGTTTTGTTTGAATTCTCCATTTCTCTCGGGACCCCGTGATGCAGATGCAAACACAGATGCCAAATGCACATTCTTCCATGCTTAGCTTCGAAATGCTTCTTTTCATGGGGAAAAAAAAAGCACTGGATTTCTTTGGGCGCCGACGGTGGCGTTTCCAACTCAAAACCGAGGCGCGCAGAAGCAGGCGCAGGTGACCGTGGAGGCGGTGCCCGGCAGCGAGATGGTCCAGGCGAGCCTCGCCGGTGCGTTTGTTGCCCTCCGCGATGGTTTTGCGGTTTTGCGTGGTGCTCGAAACGGAAGCCGAAAGTGGGTGTGGAACCCCCCTCAGGTTTTTTTGGGGAACCTCCCGCCCCTTTTTGGAAGGGAAACCAAGAGGAAAAAACACCAACAATAGCGGGGGGGGCCCAACAACAAGACACGCACATATGTGTCCAGTGATAGATGTCCTTTTAGCCAACACGGGCAAATTTAAAACATAGTCTGAAACGCAAGTGGAGGTGGCTGATAAATGGGGGCCCAACTATTAGCCAATTTGTGAAGGTGAAATGGGGAAAGGTGTGGCCCAAATGTTTGAAACCAGCCCCCTTCGGTTTCTGATTCTGCTTTTGAGGATTCAAAGGGATCCCCTTGAAAGTGTCTAGTTCAACAGTTCAAAGGCAAGCCTCCATGTATTTACCAACGAAAACCGCATGGAGGTTGTGCAATTCATGCTTGATACCCATGTTTCAACGAAGGCTATCGCCGAGCCCGGTCGACTCCAGCGGCTCACCGCTCAAGCCTGGACCTGGGATTTGGATATTCGCAAAAATTAGTTTCGTTCATCAAAGACTAAGATGCAGACAACACCGTCGAGCCAAAAGAAATTCTGAGTTTGGTCTTTGTCCAGCCATGAAAAACCCACAGAAACCCAACAGAAAGTTCCTAAGCGGAAAGCGGTCCAAAACGGCTCCGTGTTATTGCTTGGGAGTGGAAGTTTGTGCAGATCCTGTAAGCCTTTTCCAAGGCCCGAGGGCAAAAGTCCAACGAGTTGACACAGGGTGTTGTTTCAATGGGAATGCCCCTCCAATGGCGAATGCAAGGCGAAGTCCCGAGCTGCGCTTTTCGCCGCAGCACATGGGCAGTTCGCCTGGTACAAATGGAACTGCGCACTGTGTTCTCAGTGCACAGCTCTTCAACTCCGTGACGTCCGGAGTCTCAACGTCCGTTCAAACATGCTGCAGGATGCTGCAGGATGCCGCAGGATGCCGCAGGATGCTGCAGGATGCTGCAGGCTCGTCGACGCTTTGCGAGGGGTTTGAGAAGCGCAACCAACTGGTGGCCAACAGAAGGTGTGCACAACTGTTCAACAATTCCTGAGCTGCTAGCCAAGGGGGACCGCACACGACATCTTTGCGTAACCCAAAGGAGGCTGGTGATGCATCTGCTCGTTAAAAAAACAGGGCCGATTTGGCTGAACCAGGAGCTTGACTGCACTGGACTCTTTGGCCACCGCGGGATTGCCTCACAATCCATCGTCGACTGCTGAAAGATGTATTTGCGCCCGAGCTCAAGTCTCTCCACTCCCATACTTCACCGATGTCTGCCTGGCACAACGGACTGTGTGGCCTTGGGCCAGACGCGCCAAAAAAGAAGCTAACCCTGCCCCATCTGCTGCAAAAGAGCTGCAGCAGAACAACTCAACAGTGCAATGCAGCCCACGTGGGGTGATGTGAATGATCTATCGCCATGGGTTCGTTCGGTTTGGGGAGGGGGAGGCGCGGGCGATCGCTGAGCTCCAGCGAGACTTCCGCTGGGCTCGGGCAAAACCGTTCAAACTTCTTGGAGCTCGCTGTTCCGTGCGAAAAATGAAAATCCGGCAACCTGAAAAAGAAATGGACTCGAGAATGAAACCTTCATGTGTGAGGTTGCGACCCTTTGTGAAACATCCTCATTTGCCTTAAAACTTCAACGGGACATAAAAATAAATCCCGATATGTCCCCACCAAATGGTCCCCCATCCGCCTTCAGGGTGCCCAATCTTTTCTTCCCAATTTGTGAGTTTCACAAAGCGATGGACCACCTTTGGGACGGTCTTTGCAGGTAACCAAAGGGAAGAACCAACCACTTCACGGCACCCCGATTTTGAGAAACACTGATTTGCCCCTTTTTCGAGGATGCTTTCATTTGAACAAAAACCAAGGAGCCAAGGAAAACGGCGTAGCCAAAGGCGAAACGCCTCCCTTTGCAAGTTCGGCACGTGTTGGATGCGAACCCCGGAGGCCTTTGGCCATGCGGCCGAAGTGGAGTTGGCAACACCGGAATTGCGGTTCCGGCTTCGTTTCTCATTAACATGGAACCCCAAAAGGGGTCTATGTCCCAAAAGAAGATTCGAATCTCTAAAAATGGATGGTTTGTGCGTCCCGTGCAAAGTACTCAAATTCCCAAGCTGGTAATAAGGGAAGCCCCCAGCAAAGGACCAAAAACCGGCATGGAGCTGAGCCCGATGTAATTTGTCCAGACAAGTTTGTTCTCGCTACATGTTGCAATGGCCAGTGATGCCCGTGATTCAGTGATGTCTGTCTTTCTTGGTTTGTGGCTGTACTGGTCACGCACAGTTCAGTCACACGAGCTTCTCTTGAGGGGAGTGTTCATGGCGTGAAGTTATCTAGGCAGAATATCGCCTTTACTGACACGTCATACTTACGCAACGCATGTGATTCCAACTAAGAACAGTGGAGGAATCCAACCCAAGCCAACCCAATCCAATTGATTCTGCAATTTGGAGTTGCCAACTCTATAAAGCCTTTATAAAGTCCGATCCCATCCGGCAACTTGGAGTTGCCCAGACAGGTCCATAAAGGCTGCACTATAGTGCGCCGCTTTGACGGATGCCCGCCAAGCATCAGGAAGCATCGTCCGTCCCACCATGTGTTTCGCCGGATCTGTGGCAAATTACCAAAATAGGGGATGGCCGGTGGTTAAAAAGGGTGTCCTTTCAGGAAGCCACATCAAATTGTAGGTTGCAAAGGCTGTGCCTTCCTACTCCTGATGTGGTCAAAGCTTCATTGAAGTCAAAGAAGTTTCTGGGTTGCAAAAAAAAATCCTGATGTGCACTGGCAAGTGAAAGGGCTTCCAACCAACCCAGAATCCTCCGTTATCCACCGTCCGGAGCATTTGTGGTTCGGACCCGAGGTGAGCGAAAACGTGTGGTGCCCGGACGAGGGCCAGTTCACTCTCTTTGGCTGAGGTCGCACCTGGTCGCTTGATATGCTGCGTCCTATGCGAGTGTCCGACCAAAGTGTCGACTTTGGATCCTTCTTAGGTTGTTGTTTGATCTCACGGAGCGGCGCCGTGACCTTGTTTGAACAATAAGGAGTTATGTTTGTGTTTGCTTCTTTTTATATATAATTGTATATTTAGTCTGGGGTCATGGGAGAGGGGTTGTTCTTCGGGGGAGTGTCATTGATTGGGTGCAGGATTGTTGGAGAGCCAGGGTTACTGCTGAAACTGTTCTTGGGTTGGTCTTGGGGGCTGTGTTGTGTCTTCTAAATGATAGGCATGTGTGTGTGTGTATGTGTTTGTTCAGTATTCTGTTTATGCTTGTCAAATGATAAAGATTCGCGCACGCACACACGCGAGTCAAATAATAAGCACTCCCCTTCACGCGCGCTTCCTTAGCGCTTCCAGATGAAAAGCACGCCCGTTGACGCGCGCCAGCTCGGCGCCGGGCTTGCGCAGGCCTTCCACATGAAAAGCACGCCCGTCACGTGCACCTGCTCAGCACCGCTTTCACGCCTGCCAAGCGTTCAGCACATCCGTTCATGCACGCCAGCTCAGCTCTGTGTCCACAAGACCCAAACCATCACAAATGGCCTGCTGTATGATGGATCTTGTAGTCCAAGGTATGCTGTCATCTTGTGCTTACATTCTTCAAACCTGGTGTACTGTCCTGTGAGTCGTGGTGATGCTATCTTGTACGTGTTTATTCCGTCCAGCTGCTGCTGTTGCTATTGTGGTTGAGTCGCCATTCCTCGTGTGGTGTTGGTGTGTGTTGGGAAAGGTCGCACGATGTTTCCCGGGGAAGTGTGCTGTTGTGACTTACTGGTCCGCTACCCAAGGCGCCAAAGCAGGTGTCGACATGAATGTACTTTAACAGTATATACATGTGTACATCTGCGTATATCTGTTTTCCGGCCGATGTACAATGATTTAGGACAGGATAGGGGTTAATCTCTATGAACGCACATAGGCGCTATGCATCAGCAGCTTACCATGCGGCACGCGCTTCGCTTTCAACAGGCGAAAGCACATTGCCAAAATGGCGCACATGAACGGGCGCGTATCATTCGCATGCGTGCGCTGTGCTGGGCGGTGTGCGTGTACTGAGAAAGAGCAATCACACCTACAAGTCACAAATGACCAACTGGAAACAACAGCACCTTCACAAGCGGTGGCAGAACAATAGATACAACTGCGCAACAACCTTCACTACATCTTGGTGAGCACGCGCGATTAACCAGCATCAACAATTTCCACACAAAACACACATAGCAACGGATTTGCAACATGGCGCTACCACACCTCAGATCTCCACCCCACCAGGTACCAAAAGCATTGGGCACCTGACAGGGTTACTCAAGCCACAGCTCAACGAACAGAAAATCGAACGGAGCTTGTCAAGTACGAACAGGACAACAACACCTTACTACCGCACGCTGTTAAAATGCAATACTGCGCAACGAAACAAAGGGAGCACTGCAGCAACTTGCAACTGCAAGCAGGAAACATGACAACCTACGCGCAGCTCAGACCCTAGGCGATAGAGTATCACACGCCAACAGCATCATTCAACAAGTTACAAGCACGCAACAACAACCAAGGACCAGAACCAATGCACATCGGCGAGACATGGTACAAACAAGGCAAAGGCAAGAAAGGCACGGATAAGGGCAAAGAAAAGCATCACAAGCGCAAAGGCTACAGCGGCTACGGGAACAACAACCACTACAACAACTAGCAAGGAAGAAAAGGCAATCAGTACAATCAACCGGTTGGACAAGGACCTCCATTCAAGGGCAACATGGATATGGCAAAGGAAAAGGACACAGCAACAAGGAAAAGGCAAACGATACCACAACAACCAAGAAGGAGGACAAGAAGCACGTGCGACAAATGTTTGCTGCAGGGGTGCGGACAACCTGGACACATGGCCAAGCAATGCAGGTAACGCGGAGCGGCGATCTATAACTGCGACTG